ACATACTGGGCTACGCCCCCTATCTTGGGCCTCGCCCCTACCTCGGGCCTCGCCCGCTACAACGGCCCCGCCGCTCCAGGCCCCGCCTGGCTTCGAGCCTCGCTCGAATACAGATCTGTTTTACTTAGGCCTTACCTGTCACAGGGCCTCGCCCGTCAACAAATAATAACACATAAACATTTCATAACACATAACTAACACCTGCAACTGGTTCTGTCCTAAGGCCTCGCCCATGTCCTGCTACTGAGGAGTCATGGAACCCCATCCATGCTCCTAATAGTAGTGAGGTACGGGCCTAGCCCACTCTCACTCCTGTTCTAATTCGGGCCTCGCCCCTAATCTGCTATTAGTGAGATATGGAACCCCATCCACACTCTGCTATTGGTGAGATACGGGACCTCGCCCACACTCACCTCCCTACCAGGTACATACATGTATCACACAGACAACAAGTATAAACTATCATATATAAACAATTCCTTGGGCACCCGCTCGCTATTACTGGACCTCGTACTGCAAACAATACTAGCATACTGTGCCTAGGGCTAACCCTCAGGTCTTCTACTCATAACTACATGGGCCGACATTGTGGCCTTAGACCCATTCACACAAAGGGAAACTCACCTGAACTGGCTGAACTTGCTGATGATCAGTCAGTAGTAGGTTGGCCTGTTTAGGACCATGACAAGTTTCCTCATGATACATTCAGAAAAACGGAAGATAATGAAGGTGCGAAACCCTCGGTATTTCCCTGCGTCGTTCAAGACCATTGCAATTGCGAAGGGCCCGAAGCCCAACCCGCAATCGTGAGTTACCGACTTTACTAGCAGCACTGAAGGACCCTTGGGGACCAACAGCATGTTTGCCATTGAAAGTCCTTTTTACACGCGGTCGAGTCGCATTAGACTCAACTACATGTAAGCAAGTGTCCTTTGGGCCTAAAGATCATGTCATCGGGCTAGCTAGGCTCGACAAGCATGATTTGCAACTTTTGGGCCTAAGGAGTGTACGTCGACGTATTGAGAAATTCCACGAGAGTAAAGAGTTCCAAGAGTTTCATATGTGTATTGAGCGTTATAGTGTTAGTAGTTTTGGATTTGTTATTGATTCGAGACCGAATCAATTCGTTTGATAACGATTGTTGGTGATATTGTGTATTGTAATTTATCGAGAGTCGTAGTGTCAATCTTTGTTCACAACGAGTGTATTGAATTACCCTTGAAAATTTTCTGTTTACAACCCCTCTTAATTTTGTAAATTTACTTTTTCACCCCTTTAGGTAAAATAATTTCCGGTTTAGTCCTTAAACCATTTTTCTTGACATTTTAACACCAAAAATTATTGAAATTAATATTTTTCAGCATATTTTTCATTTAAAACAGTTTAAGTCCCTGAAATTGCAGTTTTCTCGGTTATAACCCCTCTTTTTCGCAATTTTTACATTTTTGGCCCAATTTGGAAAAATTTTGCAACTTTGGTCCTTTTTAAATTTGAAAAGCGTTTTAAACCTTTGAAAAGTACATGTAACACTAATAGTCCACTGTTTTACAGGAAAACACAGTTTTGGCCCTCCAAAACAGAAAATTTCGCATAATGGGCCCTATTGGGCCGAAATTGTCATTTTTAGCCCATTAAGCTTGAAATTTATGTTTTTGATCTTCCAAAAGAGTATATTTTCAGAAAATACATTATGGAATCTGTTTTGACTCATCTCACCCATCATATTTCGAAATATTTCATTTTGGGCCCTTTAACTTTGTATTTTTAACATTTATGTCAAAGAAAATGAGTTTTTAGCCCAAAGTATGTATTGTTAAGCCACTTAGCTATTTTTCTTGGTATACTTTGTATGTAGTAGTATATTTCATGCTAGTATAAGATATATCTCGGTTTTTAGCAATTCATAACTAGATCTAGCATCAAAATCATACAAAACATACATATAAGCATAGAAATCAACCAAAACATACACATAATGATGGATCTACACCTTTACTTGTATTCTCCCCCACAAAAACTTATAAAAACCGAAAATAAAGGGGTATGAAGCTCACCTTTACTTGTATTCTCCCCCACAAAACATACACATAATGATGGATCTACACCTTTACTTGTATTCTCCCCCACAAGAACTTGAACCGGAATTCCTATGGTTTCCAACCCCTAGTTGAACCTATAAGAGGTATTTGAACGAGGAGAGGGTATAGCATTCACTTAGACTACAAGCCTTACTATAGTTGATGGTTTCATGAGAATAGAAACTCTTAGCAAAAGTGCCAGTTGTGACAGAAGGCCATAGGAACCTTGGCAGAGGAACAGTTGTCCATTGAGTATTTCTTTAGTAGTTCAGAGGTGTATTTGTCCTGAAGGATGAATATTCCTTGCGGAACTTGTTTTACTTGAAGTCCTAGAAAGAAGTTGATCTCTCTATTCATGCTCATTTGGAATTTGTTGGTCATGAGCTTTGCAAAATCATCCACTATTTTCTGATATGTTGATTCGAAGATGATATCATCCATATATATTTGTACAAGCATAAGGTGATTACCGTTCGCTTTTCTAAATAAAGTGGGATTAATTACTCCTCTTTTGTATTCGGACGAGACAAGAATTTCTAAGAGAGTATCGTACCAAGCCCTTGGAGCTTGATTTAGACCATAAACTGCTTTCTCAAGCTTGTAACAGTGATCTAGGAATTCAAGACATTTGAAGCCCGAAGGTTGTTGAAGATAAACCTCCTCTTTCAATTCACCATTTAGGAAGCCACTCTTTACATCCATTTGATGTTCTTGTGAGCTACATACACTAAGAAGATGCATATGGATTCTATCCTGGCTACAAGGGCGTATGTTTCATCATAATCAACACCTTCAAGTTGACTATACCCCTTAGCGACTAGTCTCGCTTTGTTTCTAACGACGGCACTGGATTCATCCAATTTATTATTGTACACCCATCTTGTACCAACAATAGTGTGACCTTTTGGCTTTGGAACGAGTTGCCAGACTTTGTTTCTTTTAATTTCTACTTGTTCCTATTGCACTGCGGATATCCAGTCAGGTTCCATTAAGGCTTCTTTGATGGTTTGTGGCTCAACCGAGGACATGAACGTTGCATAGTGATAGTGGTCAGATAAATATTTTGAGGATCGAGTTTGGATATCTACAGAGAGGTTTCCAATAATTTGACCCGGTGGGTGATCTTTTGTTCATACATGAAAATGAGGTTGCAGATGATCAGTGGCTACGATGGAGGGAATGTCTTCTATATCATAGGGCTCTTCGGTTGGAGATTGCAGTTCCTCCTGGACTTGAGAGTAGCCCGTAGTATTGTCTTGAACTATGTGAGTTGGATAAGCATTTTCTTGAGCAATTGAGAGAGGTTCCCCCTGGATTGCGGATGGGAGTTCCCCTTGAACCTGAGATGATTCCCCCTGGATTATTGAAAGAGTGATAACCCTTGGATCAGTTTTTGTGTCAATGGTCACTATGTTGTCATCGTCTGAGTCTGAGGATACGTTCGAAGGGGGAGATCCTCTGCGGGGAAGGACCGGAGCTACTTCCTCAAGTACTAGAACCTCGATGGTTGTCACCTGATCTGGAGTGGAACTTTCACCTTCATTTGGTAAAGTGGAAGTATTGAGTTACACTTCATCGGATAGAGTAGGACCAGAGACTTCGACATGTTACCGTTGAGCTTCCGGAGACAAGAGAACTTCGGGTAGTTGAGTTGTCTCTACTGGGTCAAAAATATCATCATAGTTTATTTCAACTATGGTAAGGGGACCCGAAGAGGATGGGATATCACTTTCCAGAATTGCTTTTGTTTCATTTGATGGAGCAGTGATGTGGACGTACACTACTAGAAAAACAGCCTTTTACGACGCGCAAAACACGACGCTCTTTGATTTATGTTACGCATTAGAGAGCGACATTAAAAAAGAGTCATATCTTCAAAAAATTTAAGAATTTAGGTCGCGTATTACTGAGTGCCCTTAAATTAGTGTCTCACGAAAAGAAATTAAAAACACGGAGGGCGCTTTATTTTATAGGCGTGTCGTCTATATTTGTCACTTTATAATTTTAATGAAAACGCGCGCTTAGTAGAGGTGGGAAACGAAATCCCCAAAATTTTGAAAATTCATCTTCTACCTTCTTTCTATCTTTCGTCTTCTCCCCTCTCCCTCATTCTCTCTCCTCTCTGATTCGCTTCCCCGCCACTCCTGACCTCCATATCGATCTCATCAAACATCGTGTCCCATCCTTAATACCTCGCGGGAATCTAAAATTTAGAAAACCCCATACTCAAAAAGTCTAAGAAACTAGGGTTTTTCATCCCTCAAAGAACGACCCACATCCTCCATAGATCGATCTCTATCGCTTCATTTCTCACAAGAAATCAAACACTTTACGTTCATAGGGCCACAATTGCAAGGATGCTCACTCACCTTTCTAGAGAATACCTTCGCATATATAACACGATCATCTTCACAAAAATGGCTGCCACCATTTCTTGAGCGGGCTCAAGCTACGATTGACAATCGGAGCTCAAAGCTTTCGACCAAACAAAAACCAGCGTCAAAGGCCTCGTCGATGCCAGAATCCAATCAGAGCTAGGGCTTTTGTGAAGAACTTCCCCCTTTCTCTACTGCGTGTTCTCTCTTCTGCATCTCCACCCTCCAATGAAATCCAATCACCAACGATCCTATAACAGTTTTTTCTCATGCTCGAACCCTAGATCTCACCTCGTACCTTGCTACATCTCTATAGCGACAGCGGCTAAACAGAAACTCCACCACCACTAACGGCGGCTCGAACCCATTGATTATCTCAATTTCCTCCTCTGTTTGGGGGATGAAAACTAATGTCGAATAAACAACTTCATTTTTTGATTCAATTGCTTGATTTTGTCGATTCGTGTACGATTGCATCAGCAGCTGATCCAGTCTTGCACCAAAATCTATTTGAAGAAGATTAGAGACTGTTCAGCTACAATCACGAATGACACAACCTTCACCATCCTCCGCCTTCTGTATACATGCTTCTTTGGTATCTACATGTGCGCTAAGGGACTGCATCACAAGTAACTCTGGTGACATGTATGTGAAATTCCCAATTCAATAAATGCTACCATACCTAGGTCTCGAGTATTCTATTGAATTTTTCTTTAATTTGCAGAAGTTCTCCTGGATTGTCATTTTAACGTGTGGATAATACTCTTCTTGAAGATGATGAGCCTTTTAAAGCTCCTGTTCGTTTTCAACTTTTCGGGTAAATAAAGAAACATAAAGGCGTTGAAAGTATATCTTTGTGGCTGCCTCAGGCTCCCCCTGGATATTTATAAATGGTTTAGTGTTATCCTCCGCATTGATAACTAGGATCTGAATTTTTTTATATGTTTGGAATTGCAGATGAAACCATTATCTAACATATCATTGAGCAATATTGGATTTAGTCTCCATAGCAGGCTTGATTACCTCAATGCCACTGTTTGCTTCTCATTGGCCGCCAGATCATATAATGATAAACTTGAAGCTTGGGAGCCTCTTGTTGAACCTGTTGATGGTGTCTTAAGGTGGGTTATCTCTTTCTCTAGAATTTTTCAAATAGGTTTTAGTGATAAATTTCTGAAGGGATCCCTTTTCTCTTTCTTTCTCCTTGTTTAATGTCTTCTTGTTTGGTTTCAATGTGCAGGTACTAAAATGATGTTAATGCTCCAAGTGCTGCATCTTAATTACTTTTGATGTCACAATGACTTTTGCTGTAACTGGCTTGGTCTCAGGTGCAGCCCAAAATATCCTTGTCTGTACACGAAGAACTGCATCTTGGGGAGCACATATCTGCTCATCTGGGACCTACAATCCATTTCTTCAATGTAAGTTGATACTTGATATAATAAACTTAAAGTTTTTCAATTGAAATTCAAGCGCTTTCCTAACTACACTCACTTCCCCAGAAATCTGTTTGTTATTCAAGACAAAAGAAAAACACACAAAACAGACCCTTCTGCACACAAGAACCCAAATATTTCCAAAACTCTTCCACTTTTAACCTTATTTTCTTGAGATACATTAACACCAGTACCCTTCTTTTCTAGTTCTCAGCTTTCAAACTGTTTTAAAAATGATCATTGTCCAGGCTGTCAACTTGTGTGTTACTCGAAAAACTAATTTTCAGATTTCTAGAAGTGAACAAGACTAAGCCCTCAACCAATTAAACATATGGTTCACTTTTAAAAAATCTGACATTTATCAATACATTTGTTTCTGGTGTTTTAGTTCCTAAATCATACATATGGCATGTGGACAATGACTTCTATTTACAACCATCTACGTCATTGATCTTGGATGCCAACAAAGAGGGTTTACAAGTATTTGGTTAAGATTTCATGAATGATGTGCAAGTTGCATATAAATACAGTTATGTCCCTGTAGAAGCGTATCTGTATTTTGTGGATAATGGCCGATTCTCTGTGGATGGTGTGCTTTTCGATAATCCAGTGACTCCATCAGCAGCTTTTAGTAAGTTTTGAACTCCTCTTCACCTCTACCCTACTCCATCTACAACGACTCCTTAAATTTACAAACCCTAGTCCAGTTGCGCTTCTAGTCAAATCAGGTACCTATCTATCTGCTTTCTGAATTCTCCTGGATTGGAAATTTCTTGATACTTCGCTAGCTTTTAAACAAACAAAAATCAGTTTTTCTCTCAATAATTCGTTGGATTTTTCATTGGTGTTCCCCTTACTGGTTTCGATAACCTCTCTAATCTGTGAGGTTTGTGTTTACTTTCTTGCCCTCCCTCTCTCTAAGAAGAAAACGCAGCCTCATCGTCTTCAATCACCCAACGACATAGGTGGAACTCAAACTTCTCAGACCAAAAGAAATATTGTACGAAAGAAAAGTTATCCATTAATGGAAGAAGTGCAGGGGGTTGCTTATTGGTGCTGTTGTGAACATGAGACCTGATTTATTTAAGGCTACTATAGCTGGAGTACCATTTGTAGATGTTGTGACTACAATGCTTGGTCCAACTATTCCTCTTACAACTGCAGAATGGGAGGTGATTTATATATAATATTTTTTTGTTTTGGAAACTCAAAGCAGGATGCTATGATAATATTAGTATGTTTCTTTCTAAATGTGAATGACTTGCTCTATTGTAGGAATGGGGTGATCCTCGGAAAGAAGAGTTCTACTTTTACATGAAATCATATTCACCAGTTGATAATGTGAGTGCCAATGTATCTTGTTTTAGTTTAACTGACATAAATCCATCTGACAGATCATCAAATGAAAATGTTGAAGTTAATTACTGATGGGTGTCTATTTTGAATAGGTAAAAGCTTAGAATTATCCAGCCATAGTTGTTACTGCTGGAATAATGGTAGGTTGTCAAGAGTGATATTCAAGATGTGATTGATAAAGATGGTGAGGGGTTCACTATGGTCACAAAAAAAGCTGGAAATGCAGGGACTGCTACTGTGAAGGGGGTATGGTACAGGTGATATTCATCCCAATGTTTCTGGAAGCAAAGGTAGTAATTATAATGGAGGGAATAACAAAAGAGGAAGCTATAATAGTGTTAATAAGGGTAATAAAGGTTGGAATAACAGAAGTCATAGGGGGAATTGGAATAGGGGGAGTGTTAGCCATTAGAATCATCAAAAGAAACACGAGTTTGTTGCTGCAAATAATAAATCTTTCATTGTAGATAAGCAGGGGCATAATGGGAAAGAGAGTGTGGATTCTAGGAAAAAAGAGGAAAAAGTGGAGAAGGGAAAGGATTTTAAGGGTAGCCAAATTATAAATCTTTCATTGTAGATAAGCAGGGGCAGTCTTCTCCTGATTCTATGGAAAAGGTTGTCACATAATCAACTTTGTGATTGTATATTGATGATTATAGATTGGTGGCTTTGAGAATCTAACAATAACTTTAACTTTTTTTCTTGCAGATATCAGCAGAATCCTGTCCTACTTCTGATCTGTTGGTCAATAATTCTGACAGTGGTCAAACTGAGGTTATAGAATCTAAGTGTGATACCAGTGTGAATTCCAATCTTGGGAACCATGATTGTTTAAATCCTATGAATGATATCCTTGATACCATGTAAGTTTGAAAATTTAATCATTGCAACTTACTAAGTATCAAAATAAGAAGGTTGGATGTTTTACTTTGTGATGTTTTTTTATTTATTGTTTATCAGAATTGTTACTTTGCTCTAAGAAATAATTGTCATAAACGGATTACTCTACCATACACAGGGGACAAATACCTGCTTCATAAACAAAGCACAAAATGGATCACAGTTATGACAATGGCGCCTCCAAGGCTGGAAAACGGTGCCGGGGTGTTAGATAAGCCAGTAATAGAGAAAACAACTCCTGGAAGAGAGTCTGAGTTTGACTTGAGGTATTGTATCACTTTCAATGAAGTTTGAAATGCATATAGTAAAAGATTAGGTCGATTTACCTTTTTTTTGTTTTTTTAGGAAATCAAGGAAAATGGCACCACCATATAGAGTGATGCTACACAATGACAACTACAACAAGAGGGAATATGTTGTGCAAGTGTTGATGAAGGTTATACCTGGAATGACAGTTGACAATGCAGTTAATATCATGCTCTTGACCTGGACACCACTCTAATAGGGCTTTTCCAAAAAAAAATTGACCATCTTGAAAATATTCCAAAACCACAGGGTGGAAATATCTCTACAATTACATGTGATTTATCAGTAAGTATAATCTTTAATTTTAATCCATTCAAATATGTGACATAGTTTTGTTTTATTTATTTATATTTATACTCATGTATATAATGTATAAAAAAATTACATAAACAGGAATTATGTAAAGATTGGTTATCAATTTTAATGATTGTTACTTCTGCACGATCTTCAATTAACATAAGACATTTGGAGAAAGCAACAGTGTCTACTGGAAAAGAAGGCTTGTTATCTGAAGGGAATGGTCTACTGGAAATGAAGGCTTGTAACATTTTTGGTTCTTGTTCCCAACTTTACTTGGAACAGGGGCCGAAAGTGTAACTTACTCTAAATTTTATATGTAAATTTTATTTTATATTTTGAAGGGAAATTTACTGAATATTGATTGGTTGATGCAGTTAACTAGAATTGGTCGAGATGCAGTTTTATATGTTGAGTCGCTCGTTGAGTCAATCATGGGAGGATTTGAAGAGCTAATCAACATTCTTGGTTCTGAAGGAGGTTTTGGCTCTTTGGAGACACATGTTCTTACTATTTTATCAATTTCCTTAAAAAGTTACCAAATTCATGTATTAAATTTGATAAAGCTAACTTAATTGCTTTTTTTTTTTTAAATCCTAGCATCTACCAAAAGTCAGCTGAAACTACAAATGGCTTTTGATGGGCAGGAAAGATATATGAAGGTATGATCTATATTGTAATTCAGATTCTATAACTTTTATCATGTAATCTCTTAAGTCTTAATACCCATTATTCCTTATGCATGTAGAGATCTTGGGAGCCAAGTGATAAAGCTGATCTTCACTTTGTCTACAAAGATGTTGAAGGAGTATCAACTCAATGGGATGATATTCAAAGAAAACTCAGGAACTTACCTCCTAAACCCTCTGCCTTCAAACCCGATCCCTTCACTCCTACAGAAGATGAAGATTCCAAACCTAAAACCAAATCTCAGATCGATAAAAAGACAGAAGAACTCAAAGATTTAGAAGATGATCTTGATGATAGTTGTTTCCTCAAAGAATACAAGTACCTTCAACTCCCTTAATCCTAATATCATTTTATGAGGGTATTAAATTTCATGTGATATTTTCATGGTTTCATTTTCTTTTGTGTTCTTGAAGCAGAAAGAGGTTAGCAGAGATGAAGCAAACAGTGGAAGTTTGAACTCGGAATGTTCGGGCATCATCTATGGTGGCCCGGGCAGCATCTATTTCAATATTGATGTGTGAAAGTCATCTACTAAAGCAAGGTTGGTGTAAGAGTTGATGATGAGAACATTGTTCCAAGACCTTCAGTGAGTTATGATGATTCCCTTAATAGCAATGTAGTATTAGGTTATATAGTTACCGATGATTACTTGTATTTGACATTTGATGCAATGAATTATCTTACTTATTTATTGTATTTTATTTTGTATCTTGTATGACATTAATTTTTGTGCAATGGATTGTATTTTTTGTATATGGTGTTTTATTTCTATTATGAGAAATTAAATGCAAATTTAATTTAAAAATTAATAAATATATAAATTTATTTTTTTAAACATTTAAATTTACGATACGCAAAAATGTGTGTCATCTTCATTTATGACATGGCCTTTCTTGACAGGGGCTTTCTTGATACGCATTGCGTGTCATTAACACGCGCGTCGTAAGGTTACGACACGCGAATGCGTGTCGTCTTCCTTTATGACAGGGCCTTCCTTGATACGCATTGTGTGTCGTAAACGCGCGTCGTAATTGCGCGTCGTAAATGAGCGTCGTAAAAGCGCGTCGTCTCTCTTTATGACAGGGCCTTCCTTGACGCGCATTTGCGCGTCGTCTGAGCCTTTTACGACGAGCAATGAGCGTCGTAAAAGGCTGTTTTTCTAGTAGTGGTAATAGTCATCGAATTTGACGTTGAAGCTTTCGACTATTAGTCTTGTGCGTCTTATAAGAACCCTATAGGCTACTTTTTTGTTAAGTAGCCAAGGAAAATGCCTTCATCTAACTTTGGTGCAAACTTGTTCAGATGATCCTTGTTCTTGATCACAAAACATTTACACCCAAATATGTGAAAGAATCTGACATTTGGTTTACGTTTGTTAAGGCCCTCATACGGAGTTTTGTTGAGATGCTTACAAACGATGCTTCGATTTTGGACAAATTATGTTGTTGCCACTGCCTTGGACCAAAAGTAGAGAGGAAGGTTTGCAAAGTTGAGTATAGATCTGGCTGCTTCCACTAGAGTGTGATTCCTTCGCTCTACTACTCCATTTTTTTGCGGTGTGTAAGGAGCTGAGAAATTGTGATTGATACCCTTTGAAACCAAGTAACTGTTCAGGATATGATTAGTGAACTCGGTTCCATTATCACTTTGGATGTGTCAAACTGGTAATTTGATCTTCAGTTTAATCTCCTTGATGAAATTGATCAGGATCTGCGGTGTCTCAGACTTAAGTCTGAAGAAAAAGACCCATGTGAAACGAGTGAAGTCATCAACTATAACCAATATGTATTTCTTGTAGTGGAGACTGGCTACGGTAGATGGACCGCATATATCAATATGTAAGAGCTCTAGAGGTTCAGAAATTGAAGAATCAATCACCATAGGATGACTTGCTTTGGATTGTTTTCCACATTCACAGGCAAAGCGTAGAGTATCATTGCTGAACCTAACAACTACAAGGAAGACATAGTAGTCCCAGAGTCTGCAAAATGGAAAGAGGCCATGGACAGCGAGATTCAGTCCATGTATGACAATTAAGTTTGGAAATTGGTTGACAATGTACCAGGTCGTAAGACTGTTGGGTGCAAATGGATCTTCAAGAAAAAGACTGACATTTGTGAGAAAGTACACACATATAAGGCGTGATTGGTTTCGAAGGGATTTTCTAAAACTCATGGAGTTGACTATGATGAGACCTTCTCTCCAGTAGCGAAGATTAAAGCTGTAAGGGTTATTCTTGCCATAGCTGCATTTCATGATTATGAAATATGGAAAATGGATGTCAAAACCGCTTTCCTTGATTGGAAGTTGGTTGAAGATGTTTACATGTGTCAGCTAGAGTGTTTTGTCAGTGCAAAGTACCCCCAATAGAGTGTGTAAGCTTGAGAAATCCATTTATGGATTGAAACAAGCATCTCACAGATGGAATCTTTGTTTCAATGAGAAAGTCAGAGAGTTTGGATTTTCAAGAAGAGAGGATGAGTCATGTGAAAGGTTTTGAGCATTCTAACACTCCTATGGTGTACATGTAACCCTATAAACCTTGTATCTATGTTTTCTCTATTATACATGAAAAATATTTAATATTCCAAGGTTTTAATCCTAACTAGCATAATATGAAACAACTATACTACAAAGCCTAGTTAGATGACATACCTTTTGATGAAGCTTGAAGTGTTGAACCTTTAAGAGCTTAGTGCCCCAAGTGTTACACCTCAAATGGAATCACACAACACCAAAAACAACTTGGAATAACTTGAGATAAAGGATACTTAGGTTCACACTTATGAAATCGATTTTGCCCTCAATGTGTACTCACACTAGTGCCTAGCACTTAGCCCCCATTTCATGAACCATAGAACTCTTTATATAGTGTGGAGGATTAGGGTTACATTCATGTAAACCCTAATACCAATGACCTTTCATTTCCATAAGATCCATGGGTTAAACACTCCATGGAGTATCCATGAAAGCTTAGCCCAACCTAAATGAATTTGGCCCATCCTATATATATATATATATATATATATATATATATATATATATATATATATATATATATATATATATATATATATATATATATATATAAGAGTACATATTTAATTTGTTCCTTTAGATCACTAAATTAATTATAAATTAATTCTTGATCAATACTAATTAAACAATATGATTTCATATTAATGTATTAGAACTTATAATATATTAATACAAATCATAAGTATCCTTTTTCTCATTTTGTCTATCCAATTGTTCCGATGCCATGCAACCCAAATGGACCATGCCAAATCGGGTCAAGTACATACCAGTTATAGTTATGGGTTTAGACACCTAATCGAACAGTCCCCCACTTGGATAAGTCTAAAACTATTATTGTGTATGACTCCAAGATCCCGACTAGCAATCGTAGCTCTTAAAGCCGCTACCAAACTCTGACCTAGTCAAACGACTTATCCATTAGATAAGGGATCATATATTCCTCCATTCTAGATATCATATGGACTGAGACATGGATTATAATCCTTCTCTCTGTCCATTTGTTGTTTCTCGATTTCCGATTTATGACGACCCACTAATTGAACAAATCAAATCAGTCCAGGCTTGGCCAAGCACATAGTGGTGTCATCACTAAATCATCGAGGGGCCCATAGATATTGCTTTTATCCCTCCAAGGGTAAAAGGAATGGATAAACTTTGACTCATATGCTTGTTCTACTACTTGTTGAATCATACATAATGACACATTTTATAGCATCGAGTTACCAATGAGTTTTCGTATATTCAATGTATAACCAACTCATAGTTAACAACTCATATCTCTAGGTTTGAAGAATATAAGATATTATCGTTTGATGATCACTCATGATAAAATCCATGAAGTGATTTAAATGAGCGTGGGTTTAATCCAATACTCAGAACTTATGAGCACTCATGAATGTTGTAACAACTCTCACTATGTTCGACACCTTAGACATCTACAAGCCAACTTCATGACAGTGTTGCCTTAATACCTACTTCCAACATATTATCGACTGTGGATGGTTTGAATAACTTAGTCATTCGGGAAGAATGACCTAGTTATTCTGGAAGTCAAAACATGCAAAGTTAAACACAAGAATAATCGAATCCAATATGGTCTTAGAGCTTATGAATATAAATAAAACATTTTTTACTTATCACCATACTGATTACACATTATTTATTGTATAATGTTTCAAATAATCAAATTTATACTTGAATCAAAACAACAGTCATGCCATGCTCTAAGCATGCACACTATGTTTATCCAAACAATAGCCATGCCATACACCAAGTATGCACACTATGTTTGTCTATGATCATTACTTTGTGGAATAGATCGATTGAACATAATTCCAATGATTCTCATTTCACAATCCCAAATCCTTACCGTGAATGTAAGAATACAAATTCCTGCCATATATCGAAATATGTTAGATTTTAAACTTATATGCACTGATCCTCTTGTAATGATTATGCACAAAGTCACAAAGACTTGTCAACAGACATTACAGAGTATTCCAATGGAGATCAACTCCATGGAAACGAAGTCTCATATTCAAATTACATTACTTTGAACATCTTTCTTGCATTAAGTTTTCTAATCTTACACAGATTGAATAACTTCCACATATGGAGACATCTCCATATTCCCATTTTGAAAACCACTTCTGAACAAGAGTTGCCTCTTTTCATAATATGTCAATATGGTCCTTCAAAAATTTAGACTATACTTCCAACTATCCATGGGCAACCAATCTTTGGTAAACCTTAGATTATCCTCGACAATTACTTAATCATTTTAGTCATATCCAATTCTAGACTTTTTCCCCTCTTAATGCCCTAGGCATATGGAAAATTTAGAAAGGATAAATATTATAGCACTTGTAATTGATCATATACCCAAAGCATATGGGACACGATTCATGATGTCTCACATAAAGACATGATTCTAGACCAGTCTTTTGCTACAATATTTTTTATTTACCATGTTTTCATAATTCGACTATGAAGAAGGATGTTGTAATCATAATCGAATTTTGAGAACACAATATATATAGAATTTCCTTAAGCTGAGCCATTCCAACATAAAATTCACACACACACACACACACACACATATATATATATATATATATATATATATATATATATATATATATATATATGAATTTTATGTTGGAATGGCTCAACTTAAGGAAATGAAGTATAATTCCTCTCCCTATGAAGTATAATTTCCTTGAATAAAGATGATTAAAATCTCAATCTAAGCTTTGAGAGTTGAAATGAAGTATAATTTCATCTCCATTAATTATAGCAAAACAACTTTTCCTAATTGAAACTTTTTTTTTCTATAATTAACATTGCTAACTTGAAACACTTATCATAATTATCATGCTCCCACTAACATGATGATTATTAGCATAACACTTATGCTC